ACGCCATCCCACTAGGAGGTTAGACTTTTTCTCAAACACATTCTTCCCCCTTCCCAACCTCAGATCATTTTTCATGGAACATTCAGCTCCTCCCTGACATGGAAGAGGATTTAAATCTAAGTAAATTCCTTTATTTCCAAACAGATTGGAGCCCAAATCCCAGCATCTCTCTCACTGCTCCTTTGGCTGTTGCAGCGTGGGTGCAGCCTGCCCCTGCACAGCAGTTACTGCCAAGGAAGGAGATGAAAGGGGGAAAGTACTTTAATGCAGCTCCTCCTCAGCTGGAGGGCTCAGCTGACCCACAACACCTGAAGATGCTGATGCCCTGTACAGGTTTTACTCACTTCCTGATGCTGACTACTCCAGTATTCAGGTTTTGGAAAATGCTGCTGTGGCCCCGTTTTCTGCAGTCCAGCAGTTAAGAGATGTTCCAACTGAACAATCCAATGCATTTTTCCATCCTTTTCATTTTTTGCATTGCCAGAGTGGGTGATGAAAAATGGTGCCTCTTGGACATACAGAAAGTGCTGGTTATTCTGTGCTGGGGTCTTGAGTCTCCCTTTTGCAGATAGTCCTAAACTTCAGGGTTTCCAAAAGTGACATTTCCAATCCTATCAGAACTACAGAAATGCTGAAAGAAAATGGCATGTATGATTCTCCAAACCGAGACTGGTGAAGAAGGAAAGGTTTCAAGTAAACTTTTGCCCCTTGCTGCCTTTGCTAGTTGAATTGTGACTCATTTTGTTTGAGAAATGCTTTTTCCAACAGAACAGGCCAAAACACTCTTATGTGCCAACAGCAAATCATTTCTCATTGCACTCACTTTGTGAAGATGTGTGTAGGTGTACAGCCCTCCCATCTCACAAATGCTGGCTACTTTGAGACAGCTGCATAATGAAAAGCAAGTAACTTTATTCCTTTCTCTTTAATTGTTTGCATTTCAATAGCAGCAAAAATGCAACAGATGCTTCAATCAGGCTCTTCAATCAGGTTCTGCTTTGGGGCAGCCAGTTTTCACCCAATCCTGCTATCTCCTGCCCATTTCCACAGCTTCACACTCCACACTTCAGAAGAAAAAACAAAAACAAAACACTTTCCTGGTGCCCCTCCCTGCCGAGGCATAGGCATCGCTGTGGTGGCAGAGGACTTGGGTCTTCCCCAAACTTAAATGCTCTGGGCGAGTATGTGGCCTCCGTGTCTGAAGCACTGCTGTGAGAAATCTGCAGCAGTGCCTCACAGAGGGGCTGTGCCACTTTCCCTGTCCATGTCAGGAATTAAGCTCACCTTTACCCTTGCTGTGGTGGGAAAAAAAGCTTTAGAGAACGAGGCAAGGAAGCAATAAGTTGGAGAAGGCAAACGGAGAAACTGGAGAAACACTCCCCACCTCTCTGCTAACCTGGTGTTTCGGGCCAGCTCCGTCTGTCGCTGCCATGGATGTTAGTATGGGAAGGAGTGGAGGCAGGAAGACGAAATGGGAAATGCCAGCAAGGAGTGAAGTTCAGCTGGATTGCAGGGTGTTGCCCTGTCCAAGGCAGGAAGAGCAGGGGCATTCCCAACTCGGCAATAAACACTGTCAAATTGAGGTAGAAGGAGAAAAGGGCTGGGCACAGCAATTATACCCTTCTATGGCCAAGAACCAAGTGCTTTCTAAGTCATCTGTTTCGTAAGTTATTAGTCACCATCATTTCCTAGCCACATAAACTCATCCCATTTGATTTTACACCTCTTGACAGGTCCCCTGGCCACTTGGATGCGAGCTTCCCATCAGTCTCACGAGAGGAGAGGCGATTCAGGTCAGTGGGTGGGAGAGGGAAAATTATTGTCTGCAGGTTTCCTCCCCCAGCAATGGTGTTTCCACCCCATGAGCTCGCCCAGAGAGCCTCACTCCATGAGATAGCCTCGATTTGGGGCTGAGCTGGCTGGCTGACTGCTTCTTCTTTTAGCCTGCCCCTCTCCGGGGGTGAGGGACCAAGGTCCTCAGCAGACAAAGTGCTGTGAGGAATTTTGACCTCCATTGGGAAGATGTAGGAGGCTTGAGGGAGGAAAGCAGCAGCAGTTTACCCCCTGTCTCTCATTCTGAACCTGGTTCACTTCTCTGCCAGAAAGCACCACCGCAGCAGGACTTAGGAAGATGTGGATGCTTCAGCTTCACTGCAATTCCCTGGCCTCCAGAGCTGGATACACAACTCGGATGATTCTTTGGCTCACTGTCCTGTGAAATGGGTTTTACTTATAGGAAGGCATATAAAATGCAGCTAAGGCAGCTCTGACAAGCTAAAACAAAGAATTTGTCTCTTTTTTTGGACATATGCATGTGGCTTTTGAATACATCCTGAAGAGTTTGCAGCCATAAACATTTATGTGAGAAGATGGTAGCAGAAACCTACTTAATTTATAAAAAAAGTGACTGGTACACTACATGCTGGGAGGATGCTCATCTATGTGACCATGGGGCTACCATTAATTAAAAAAGAGAATTCTGACCCTGCCTAGGCAGGAAAATCAGCAGTTTTCTGTCTCACTGTGTTGAGGAACTGCACCGGGAGACAAGCAGTGTTTCAAAGGGGCCTGGCTACCAGAAAATGGTGGTGATAATGAACACAAATTTTCAGAGTGCTGCAATCATCTCCAGCTCAAACTCAGATCAACTGAAGGAAGAGAAACAGTGATTTACTGGCACAGATAAACTCCGGCTTGCACGTCGTCCTCCAGCAGAGCTAAGTCTGAGAACAAGTCACCACAAACCCACAAGAAGAGCCACGCCCATTTCATAACCTGTAATTTTTAAATATAACATTTTATTGCTTAGATGGTTTGATACAGAACAAGTTTTACTTTTTATTTTGAATTTGGAAGTACTGTACAACTGAAAAAAAAGAGGAATAAAAGTACCAAAACAATGTGTGATTCTCTGTTCATGTGGCATAAACCAGTCTTGTACACAATTCGTAGCAGCAGTTTAAGTTCCCTTTAGAAAAATATGAATTCTACACATTTATTACTGTTTCCTGCATGGGATGAAATCACTAGGATTAAACTTCCTTCGTGGAGAGAGAAGAGAGAAAGGAGACACACAGAGAGGAAAGAGAAGATGAATCATTCTGAAAATGGAATCAGACTGTCACATAGCCCCCTAAAGTTATTTCACAACAGCCTCAAACAAGGTTCTCTCTTTTTTTTTTCCTTTATTTTTTTGCGCTTTCACAGTCAAGTGCTTAATGTAGTGATTGAATTATCTCCATGTTAAGTCCATTGCAACTCAGGCAAAAGAATTTTAGAAGATCTTTTTTTTTTGTTTTCTTTTTGTTTTGTTTTTGTTTTTTTGTTTTTTGTAAAAGCCCTGAGAGAGGAAAAAAATAAAAAGATTCAAACGAAAATCGTATAGAGACAAATTAGCTGAACATGCAAACTAAAGCCTAAGATTCACCCATAGTTTAAACACATTATAAATTTCACAGTTTAATATTGGGGGAGGAAGGGAAACAAAAAAAACCCCAACAACAGCAACAGTTCTCAGTCAAACTCAACTAATAAAAATGTCAATAAAATGTGGCAAGACCTTATACTCTACTAAGATATAGATAAAGGCTAAATAAAGCTTTAAATCAATAGTGATTATTGCTAGCAGATGTCCCGGCAGGCTGCTGGGAATTAATTACTTGCTACATTGTTCTGCAGCATATAGTTTAGTAATGGCTTCTCCCCCACAGTATTGCGCAGTTTAGTGTGGAGAGTTGCAAAAAAAAACCCCAAAACAAAACAACAAAACAACCCCAAAATAAACAAACAAAAAAATTACAAAAACCAAAAAATACCCAAAATAATAATAATAATTATTATTATAATTATAATAGTAATAACAATTTAAGGGATGCGTGAACTGGTTTTAATTAAGTAGAATGCACCTGGGTAGAGTTTCAAATGAATCATTGGTTGTGATTGATTTATCTATATCTGGCGATAGCTTCGTTTCTGAACTGGTTCAAACATCCCTATTTAAAAATTAAAAAAAAAAAAAAAAACAAAAACAAAAAACAAAACACAAAAAAATAGAAATCACATATACCTCAACCATTTTTTCTTATTCTATTTGCAAGAATATTACTCAAGAAGGTTTCTCTTCCTTTGAATTCTGGACCGTGAGATTTCAGTCTCCAGAAATTTTTCCGAGAATTTTTAATATATAGATATATATAGATATATATATTATATAATATAGACTGGGTCCGAGGCCCACTTCCTCCATGTCTGGTGAGAGCAGGAAAAGCGATTCTGCGGTGGGAAGGAGGGAGGGTCACAGTGCGGGCTGGGCTGGGCTGGGGGCTGCAGTGGTGGAATAGCACAGTGAGGCTCCGGCAATGCTATTATGGCTCTGTCTGTCCCAGAGGTCATGACTGAAGGACAATTAACAAACAACAATAACGACAACAACGACAAGAACAACAAAAATGCTGGGCACTCCTAAAAATGCGCAGCTACAGTAGGATACATTTCGTTTAACCCCTTTAATATTGGTGGCTGGAGTGTCACCTGTTGCCGGCAACAGGAGCCATACGGAGAAATTCCAGCTGCCAGCATTAAAGGGGTTAAATTACTGATATGAAATTTAGACACACACCTCAAGTCTTCAAGCATCAACCCCAAAATCTTAGGAAGAATTTATTTCTTTTTTTTTTTTATTCTTTTTCTATTTTTTTTTAAATTTATTTACTTTATTTTTTTAACGTGTCGCATATCCGTAGTTTTATCACCAGTAGTACTTTCTTGCTCTTAGAACGCGACAGAAGCAAGAACGAGGGTAAGGCTCGCGTTTCTCTCTTGCTTTCCACTGGAAGACGGAGTAAGTTTGCTCTGTGGGTGACGGGGGTGTCACTGACGTGAGGGCAGCGAGGTCACTGCGGCACTGGCGGTGCCCCTCTCACGCACCCGCGGGGGCCCCGCTGTCGCCCAGGCGCGCCCGCCGCCAGGGAGATGTGGCCCCCCAAGGGGACAGCACCTCGCTGGCCCCCGCGGGACGCTCCGGTCGGAGGAAGGGGTTCATGTAAAGTACAGTAGAAGAGCTGCAACAACAACAGGAGGAGGAGGAGGAGGAGGAGTTGGTGAAAGCGATGGGTCAAGAACACTCCGAGACGGGATCCAAGCTGCGCTACGCATCTCCGTGGGCAAATATTGCCCATTGGCTTCTGCTGACTGCAGACACAAGCGAACTGATGGATTTATAAAATAATAATAAAATAATAATAATAATAATATACTGAAGCAAATCAAACATATGTAACAGCGGGTGCATAATTTCCATAGGTTACGTTGCTATGTAACTCTTCTCTGTATACACGCTCAGTCCGTGATGGCCAGAAAAAACCCCTAGGATTTAGAAGACCACTTCTAATGCTGAAAAGTGGAAACAAGCATGAGGTTGAAATTAATTCGTGTTTCCTGCTTTTGGCTTGAACCACTTTGAACACCTTCAACTGCCACGTTGTTCAGGCCTGAAACAGGCTTAATGCTCCACCATGTGGCAAATGCATGAATATCTACTGAGGAAAAAAACAATAAATCAATGTCTCCTCTGAATCTCCTCTGACTATTTCATATGAAATTCACATCATTTTTCTTCCAGTTATTGGCTATGGTATCCAAGGGCCTCCCACCCCACTGCCCCATTTCCAGCTCAGAGAACAAACACAGCGACTATCACAGATATACAAGAACAAGCTCACGCACACCAATACAAAAGGTAACATTAATGCTTAAATGAAAAAGGGTCCTCTCCAAATAATTCTTTAAAATATTAAAATCATTTTTGAAAAAATCTCTAATACCAAAAGATCTAATAAAGTAGTAAGGCACTCAAATCAGTATAGACTGTAGTCTCTTGCATTATTATACTGAAAGGCATATGGCACCACTTCCAGTCTGCCATACTCTCCCCGTAGCTGTAAGGTTGCTCTTCCAAAACCAGACTCCAGAAACCTTGCTCTGCTGGCTTCAGTTTGCCTGCTGAGATGGGTCCAACCTCCTAGCAAGTCATTCCACCCCCAAGAGCTGAGGTGCACTGTCTGCGGAGGCCAGGATGTGATTCATGGGAGACGGAGCGTTGTGCATCTCCAGCAAGTCTTGGATGAAACCCGAGGGCCTCTCGTGCTCGGAGCCGCCCCGTGGTTCCTGGTCTTTTGCCATCTGTTTCTGCGCGCTCTTGGGGGGCTCGGCGAGGCAGGCGCCGCTCCTCTCCTCTCCGCAGGGAGAGTCCATGACCGCTCCGGCCAGGGGCTCGCTCCGGCTGCCCGCGAGGGACGAATGGCTACCGACGCCCCCCGCGGACTCGCCCTCGCTTTCAGAGATGGGGTTGGCGCCGCTGTGGCTGGACTCGTTCTCACTGTCTTCTCCGCACCTTGACTGCGTCTCCTCCTTGTCGCTCTCCTTCCCGTGGTTTCGGGCATTTTTCACTTTCTGGTGGATGCGCTGGTGACGGACCAGGCTGTGCTTCAGAGTGAAGGTCCGTTCGCAGGTTTGACACTTGTAAGGTCTCTCACCTGGAAGAGAATTACAACACAAAGTCAGCTGTGAGGTCACACATGCGCCTCCCTCTTGTTTCAAGCAGCGTAAAACACTTTGCACTTTGGAAATTCAGTACCTACACAGAACATCGCATTTATGCAGATATTTTGCTTCTGTACTAGCAAACTAGTACATGATGGAGTGCAAGCAGGAATACAGGTAAATGCCTACGGCACAAATGGAGCATCAAAAATAAGTGTCTAAAGCTTGGCAAGGCCCTGCACTAAGGAAGGAGGAAGACTGTAAAGCACCAGGTTCTCATGAGCATCCTGCCTAATTTAGTCAGCAACTTTTCTGGAAGAAGTTTACAGTTTATCTCTGGAACTCAAAAGCCTTTATGAAACCAGCCCATCATGTGGGCTTCCTGATGCAGGTCAGCCCCAGACACATGTGGGGAGAGAGAGAATACTTTCCTAAGCACCTAAGAACCTTGCACACTGCCCCAAGGTACTGTCTGCTCTGAAGAACCAAAGATCCCACCCCAACCTGTCCTCCCTTTCCAACTGTGCCACTTGAAGGCTTTTCAGTGCTGCAATTGCATCAAGACACCATCTTGTGCCAATGAGCATCAGAATGAGACTCGTGGTAGGCAGGCAGAGATTTCTTGCATGCTTCAATGTGCCCCAAACGTTCCTCTTCTGAGTAAACAAATCCCAAAACCTTACAGGTATCTTTAAAAATCCTCACATTAAAAATGAAGCATAAGCAATGTGCAACCTGGCAGTATTTTGTCAATACAGTTTAACAAGTGGGAAGGAGACAAGGAGAAGAGTCAACCTACAGACAGCATTGGTGCAAAATCCTCAGCTGAAAATACATTGGTCTGACAGTAGGGTAGGTCACAGTTACATTTATGAATTTGAAGAAAGCACTGTGCCAGATTCCTATTCCACACCTATTCTATGTTGAAACATCCTTCAAGTGTCAAATAAGAAAGAGAAAACAAACAGGAAAAAAAACATACTGACAAAGCCTACAATAACCCAGCATGCAATGAAAACGATTACAACAGAGTATGGAAACGTCCATGGGCATACATTGTTCAGGGGTAAAGCTCAGTACTTTTGATATCAGCATTTCCCCAAAGCTTCTGCACTTGTATGAAAATAGGCACTAGAATGGAACTTGTCCCGTTTCACTTGTGGTTCAATGGCAGAAGAAAACAGGCCCGTTTTGCACTCAACAGATTAATATTTATGATTTAGAAGGGTTGAAGTCTAGTTCAGGCATCACTCTTTGGTGTAGTTTTCTACAAATCACTGTCAATTACAGCACAAGTATTTTGTTAATGGCAAAGATCTTGTCTTCAGCAGAGAGAACCTTCAAAAGACACAAAATGTCAAAATGCACCAGTTTTCCCACGTCAGAGCAGCTTGCTGGCAGGTAAAATACATAATTAATAAGGATGAATGATTAATTCACCTTTGAGCTGGTTTGTGGCTTCATCTCATTTGCAAGGCACTGCTGCAATCTGCCTATCACGTAAAGCAATCCCACTGGCCAGTCAAGTCATTGGGCAAGTGTTTCACTACCTGTGTTCTACCTTCCCTGCCCAAGTGCCCACTGGATCTAGGGTGCCTTCCACCCTAGCAGCAGGTCACACTCATCACCAGCATGTTACCCATATTAGGCTCAGATCATCAGACAAAGCCAGACTCTCTCTCTTTCTAAACTTTGACTCAGAGATGAAGTCTCATGATACCCTGACAGTTTTTCCACTGCTGGTCAAAATATTGGGAAGAAGTAAAGCCACACACACATGGTAAGAAGGGAATCAGGGATCTTCACACTTGCCCTCACCTCTGAACTCTGCAAGCAGTCATGGGGAAGAACAGTTTGGGAGCTGAAAATAAGGCAGTGGTTGAAATTCTTGCTCCCTCCATAGGCTTTATATGCAGCATGAGGGACTGGGATAGAAGACACCTTGCAGATACCTTTAGGACTAAAAGCAGTGTCTCCAACCTCATGCGCCAGCACCTTTCCTGCACCTCCAGAGCAGACATCTCAGTCTGGTGGGACACCTCATGGTCTGTTCTGCCCTCAAGCCTCCTCTTACCTGTATGAGACCGCATATGTCGCGTCAGATCTTGCAGAGACCAGAAACGCTTGTTGCACACAGTACAGACTTTCTTTCTTTTGTCTGCTTTTGCAGTACTCTTAGCCCCATCAGTCTTTGGTTTGTCATCACTGCTCTTCTCAGTGGACTTTCTCTCTGTGCCTTCCCCCTCAGAGATGCTTTCGCTCTCTTCATTCTCCTTTCCTGTTGCCTCAAAGTCCACAGGAGACTCCACTACCTTCAAGTCCAACGGAGACTCTTCCTGCTCAAGACCAGAGTCCTGCATCGAGGGAGCTCCTGCATCATCCTGAATGCTTTTGCTTTCATCCTCACTGCTCCTTTCATCCTTTCTGTCCTCACGAATGTGGGCCTTTTTGTGACGGCTAAGAGTGCCAGCAAACTTGAAGGTTTTGCCACAAATGTCACAGGCATGTTTCCTTTCAGTCTGAGAACTGCTGCCTGCACTCTGGTCACTCTCTGCCAGCTTGAAGTCCATTAATTTGCTGGCAAAATTGAGGTCAAGACTTTTGTTACTTACAGAATCTTCCTCAGGGCCCTCTTCATATCCATCCACTTTTTCTTCAGCATCCTCTTCTGCCAGAAGCGAGTCAGCCTTCTGCTCCTCCTTGGGGCCGCGCTCACTCTCTGGTAGCTCTGTCATTTCCTCTGACTGCTCCTTCTCGCTGTAGCTCAGGTTCAAGACTTTGTTTCCTGCAGCTAGTGTCTCTGCATCCACCTGGTTCTCTGCAAGGAAACACAGAGAAACTTTCAGTGGGATGCTCCCTGATGATTCCCAACTACCATCAGGGAGCCCGCACGTGGACCCAAGAGCATTGCTTCTGATCGAGCATCCCAACATCTGTTTCTCCCATCTGTGACCTAGGCCAGTAACTTACAGCTGAAAAGAGATCAAAACACTACAGAACCCAATTAACATGATGATACAAACTCTTTCACAAAATAGGCTCACAATCTCAGCAGCTTCTTGAAATAATTTTTAATATAATCACTTCTTACCAGAGAACACAACATGCTGAGACACCAAAGAAGGTGAGGTCACTATCACAAATAGACCATTCCAGAGATACATGGATGTATTATTAATTAACTTGTGTATGAAAAACGTGAACACACATTAAAATACAACCCATATATTTGTCAAACTAATTTTGGTGTAGCAGGAAATGTTTTTCCAAGGAAATGTAATAGCCTCATGCAACCACCTGGTATAGCTAAATGAGAATAGTTAGTGCAGACAGTAACACAGAAGTTGGCTTAAAAAGTTGGGTATGCACCAAGTGGAAGTTCATCCACACCTGGGTCTCTGATGGCACTTGGAATCGAAACATAAAGCCAAGAGACAGTAACAGACTTTGCTGTTTCACAGCTACCCCACAAGAAGACAAAAATTACCTAAGATGTTGTCCTTAATGGTGTACTCTGCTTATTTACCTGTCTGCAGCATTGATGTTGCTGAAGTCATAACCTATGTCCAAAGGACTGAAACAGGTAAGATGCTTAAGGAGAACAGAGGGCTGGAGCTGTACTCCTTCCAAGCTCTATGCAAACAGTGTGTTTGTAAATAGGAAATAAGCTGGTCTGGCTCTGGAGGCCAAAGCTGCTGCTGATGCACAGCATGTGACTGCACCTCCAATGCCACTTCCCAGAATTGTTCCAGGACACAAACTTCACAAGTCATGCTTTCTGAAAGCTGAAACTTTCCTTTAAGTCCTCCTCCCCACCTCCTTCTTATTGACAACAAGCAGCAAAGGGCGCCCACAACCCACCCGGCATTTCGACATTCATCTGCAAGAACGATAGCTGCTCAGTAACTACAGGGATTTGGAAACTCTAGAAGAGCAGTGCAAGTTCTGTTTGACACAGTACAACATGTGCTTGTCTCCAAACTGCCTAGATTTCCTATTACAGGCTTCTTTTTCCTAAGCAAGGAGTAAAAACAGAAGATAAGAAAATGGTTCTCAGGCACTTATTAGTTTGAATGTAGTCTTGCAACATGACTTGCACTGGCCCCATCTCCTCTCACTAGTGATAACAAAGGGCCATTAAACAAATGTCAAAATGTAGCAGTGTTTCTGGTGATAGCGAAAGATCACTTAATAGTGCACAATTCCTGGTATGCTTTTTCTTGGGGGAGTGTAAGGAGAAGTGATCTATCACAAAAAGTAATCTCACCTTGTAATCAAAACAGATCTGTTTACACAGACAGTGGATTACACAAAGTTCATTGCTCATCTAATTATCTGCCCGTTAGAACATGCATGCAAGCCCTGATCTGTGTGTAAGGCTTCAGAATGTGAGGATGGGGACATCTGAAAGCAGATGTGGGCTGCCCTGTCTCATCCCCTGCAAGGTCAGGAAATGCTCCCCTGATGGGATGTGTGTTAGGCCAAAGAAAGGCTGCCAGCACAGCACAGAGGGGGTTCATTACGGAGAGGGGCAGGAAAGCATGTGAGCTCTGTTAGGATGGAGGTGAGTGAAGAGCGCAAGGAAACCAAGATGGGAAAAAGCTCCTATTAATCATACCCAGAGAGATGTTCTGTAACTCTTTATTGACCAAACAGAAAACTGTATGCAGAGGGAACCTTTCCTTGGTTTTTCAACATGAAACATCAGAAGCAAAATAAATGAGGAGAATATCCATGGGTGGCACTCAAGGTGCCAAGGTAAGAGCAGCCAAAACCAGTATGTCTTAAAACTCCCAATACAGAAATCCCAACTCTGACATTCAATGTCATATATCATCCATGATTTTTCAATTTTTCTGTAACTTTTTCTTCTGCTTCTTCTGGTATTTAAAAAAAATATATTATTTTTCTTACAGTATACTCATTCACGTGTACATGTTTTGGGGAGCACTCTTCCTCCTCATCTGCACAAACCAGACCTGCCCTTTTTCTTGCTGAGAAGGAGTTTCACAGGCCCCTTAGGAGACTTCATGCACGTACTTCACGTAAAGCAGCAGTTCGTGACTAGCTGAGCTGCTCTGTGGTTATCTCCAACCTGTGCAGTTGGCTCTACAGCTGGTGAAAAGGTGAGCTGCTTTGCACAAAATCTGGTTATTTGGGGACAGGTGAAAACGAGTCTGGTTCTGCTTCCAATGAACTGGAATAGCAGCAGGGGAGCTATGAAGGTGTGTGGTAAACACAATGTTTGTGAAGACAATGTCCCAGGCCCAGTGTGGGACTTCTGCAGTGCAAGAGATGGCTGCAAGGGTAGTCCTGCACTAACAGCTGCTTCATCCACTCCTGCAGAGGTTAGGCTTGGCCTGCACTACTTTTCTCTTCACACTTACATGCCCCTTGCAGCACCAGAAACCCTGCTGGCCACACAGCTCCAGCAGGTTTGTATCTTACATAAAGAGGAGGATTTTGACTGAGCCTTCAAATCTGGACAAACATCCCTCCAACAAGACTGAGCTCCTCTCAAATGGATAATTCCCATCTCCAGAATTCAGCTGATTTATGTTGCAGAGCAGTCACTCAATTCCAGGCAGTGAAAGAAACAGGATGCACAGGAAAGGCCTGCTGTTTCTTTTGCCCCTTTCCCATCTTTCACTTACTAAGGCTGTAAAATGCTTTCCGGTCCATTTGTTATCCCACAGAATTTACACTTGATGAATCAAAAGGACAAGAGCGGAGAAATCCACTTGTCAAGGCTCCCACTCACTGCCACTTCTACAGCAACCATGGGAGCAGAATGTGTTACCTTGTCATATGCAGAGTGTGTCACTCCCCCAAAATGAAGAGAAGAAGGTGACACTATCTGAAGATCTCAATTCTGACACCAGAGTCAAAAAAGATGTGCAGGATAAGGGAGAAAGAGGAGAAGAGCAGGAAGTAAGGACATAGGGAAGAAGGTGACACAAAACAACTGCTGGTAACTCAGCTGCTGCCTCGTCAGCTCCTGGGGAAAAAAAGAACTTCTCAGGACATGGATTCATAAGCTAAACCTCAAGAACTCCATCTGAAAATTCAAAAACTTTTCCACTTGCATGAAAGAAACCACTATATAGATGTAGCCAAAATAATTTTTCCTTCTAACTGTGGAAAGACTGTTTTGCTGAACAAATCAAGTTGCAGTCTTGGGTCAGCCCAGTCAGAAGAATCCACTTCATCTTTTATTGATGGCAATAAAGAGAAAGAGGAGGGAACTGCTTTCATACATATGCAAACCAAATTATGAAGAGGGACACCAAATGTGAAAAAATTTCAGATGAAAGAGCAGATACAGATCAAGGTGGGGAACTTGCTGGCTTGATTCTTTTTACACATGGCTTTATTTTTCCCTGAAACTATGGTGGAATAGAGAGTAGAACTTGAGATGCTATGAAGTTAGTAGACAAAACATGATGTAATGAAAAACATTTTGTTGCTAAAGCAAGTGTTTATTGACAAACACTCCAAACATCCCAAGAGAAGAGTTAGAAAACTCATCACATAAATAATCCTCAAAACTGGAGCAAACAGACTATTGGAAATGGATATGGTACAAGCAGTTGGCATTATCAGTCAGATGAGCTGATGATTTACTATTTTCCCTACGTTAACTGAAATCACCCCAGGTTGATATTTTACAATAGAGGCACCCACCACTAGGTGGTAGCAGTTCTAGTAAATCTGTGATTTTTTTGACCCCCACACAATGCTTCTTCTACTTCCACCCACAAACTGGAGAACATCTTTTAAATCTGCAGACTCAGCTTGAAAAATTTTGGGTGTTATCTTTGTCCATTTTTATTGTAAACATTCTAAATAATAAAATTCAGCCTCCTTCATTACATCACTTGCAAACACTCAAGTTAAATATTTATCAGCCCACATACAGTTGAGAGAGCTCCAGTTGCATCTCCATGCCTTGTGAAATTAAAATATTCAAGCTAGAAAAGGACTATTTACAGTAAATGGAACTGAATATATCTGGGGAAAAGGAAAAGAAACAATTCTGGGAAAAAAACATCACCTGTCTTTAACACACAGTATGATTCCCCAGTACCTTCAACAGAGCAGCTGAAGTCACAAAGAAAAGTTTTCAGGACTAGCACTGACTCCACCTACCATGGGGGAATCTGAATTGAAGGCAGTGGGGGCAAAACCCACACTTTGAGCTTACGATGGATTGCACCATTCAGCAGAAAGGCAGTTTGATGTAGAGCTGACAATACAGCCAGCAGGCTATACACCACCACCTCAGTATCTTCATAAAACAGCTCTAGCACTCAGGCCAACCCCAGCAGCAAGTAACTCTTCTTTTACCCTGAGCTCTCGCTCCAGAGCAGCTGTTAAACTTTGTCTGACACTGAAAACACGATTTCAAGCCCTTTGTCCTCTAAGAAATACCCACAAATGTAGTTCAAAGGTACAGACAGCTAGAACAATTTGGAAAAAGTCCCCCACTATACCCAGGACTCACATGATTTCTGGAGAGACCACATTGTGGCAGATATCTAGAGAAAAGATGAATTCTGCTAAATGCTAATCAGAAAATTCACTGTTGAGTATACTTTGTAAACATTTGTCTAGTTAACGCAGAGCAATTGTGTTTGACCCTCTCACATTAGGGGCAAGTCTCTATGAAAGGAATCTTTCCTTAGTAAGTTCTCTTTCTCATTAAGTAAGAGATAATCCCTTACCCCATTCCTATCCTACATCTCTGTCAACTGTATTTTGTTGCAAGAAGGGAGCATTCAGTCAGGCCCTAAGGAGACAAAGGCAGGGTTGCTTTAA